CATGAAATTACACCTCCCAGCTTTGTTCCAGTTGTAGAATGTCCATGTGGCACCAATGGCCATGCAAATATTTTACCACCTGCTAGGCCTGCCAAGGGCACTGAGAGGCCAATGAACATGAATACACAGAAGGAGCTTCTGCCACGTTCAAATCAAATAGAACCTCAAGTCTCCCTAAAAGAATATGGTAAAACAGACCAGGAAGAGAGCAGCAACACTCAAAGCAATATTTTTGAGAGACACGCAAAAGCTGCTGAGCTTCTGTTTATATGGTAACATTCATTCTGGTGGGTAAATATGTTTTTCTGGTGTGTAAATATGCTTTGAGTCAGATAACTAGCAGAAGCACAACATGGGCTTTGTAGTCACATGAATCCCAGCTCTGCCATTTATCAGCTGGGAGCTGGCAGACAAGCAGCTCACCTCACTGAGCCTCAGTTTCCTCCTCTGTAGGCTGGGTGCAGGGACATCTCCTGAATCATACGTTGCAAGAAGATTCAAATGAGATCATGAGGATAATAAACAACCATATCATAGCTTTCTACCCTCTCATTAAGCTCCAGACCCCATGTCCAACAACCTCCTAGACATTTCCATTTGGATCTTACCTTTTTCTCAAACTCATCTGCCCCTGTCATTAGCCAGCATCTCCTCCCAACTCTTCTAGCTCTATCCACGACACTCCCATTCTCCCAAATACCTAACCACCAATTATCAAATTATAAAAACGTGTTTATTGCTAGTCAGACTACAGTGGAGATGGTAGTCTCAACCCTTGCTGCTTCCAGGGCCAATGGGAGCAACACTCAGGAAAGCACTGTGAATCAAGTCATAAACTTGCTCAAACCCAGCAATTCAACTTCAGTGGAATCTATTATAAGGAAATAATGCAAATTATAGAAGAAAGTGCTTCATAGAAAAAAAGAAAAAGATGTTTACAGCAGTATTATTTATATCAGAAAAAAAGAGAAAAAGAGAAAGAAAGGAAGGAAACAATTTATCTAAGAAACGGTAAGCTCAATTATGGTACATAGTCTCAACAAACGTTTGCGGTTAATAAAAATGAGAGAAACAAAATATGGGGAAATGCTAATAATAAAAGGCAACATTTAAAACTGTGAGTGAACTTGTCCCTACTTAAAGCATCAGAGGCACAAAATGGAAACATACCAAAATGGTCTATTTTGCTTTATCAGTATATAGGACATTTGTGAGAGACTGTTCTCTCCTCTCTGGTTCCAAATATTTGGTCCAAACTCTGGTGTCACTTGAGTTGACTTGACTGTGGCCTCTGACCCCAAACCTCTTCTCCTTCACATTAATCCCTCCTCGCCTAGCTTCTGCAAACGTCGCTTTCAGGACTTCATGTAGAGAATCACTAGTTCCTGCTGCACTGGTCCTTTATAATCCCACCCCTTCTCCAGTCATGGAGCGTCTTATTTCAGGTCCTTGTCATTTGTCTGTTTCATCATTGCCAATCTTCTCAGCAGTCTTCCTGTCTTCAGCACCACCCCTCCCATCAACCCCAATCCAGGTTTCCCCCCTGCTGGTAGAGAGGCAGGTCTCAGATCCTATCACTCGACCTGCTAAGATTTCTCCAAACTGGCCCTCTCACCTGCAGAATAAGATCTGAGCTTCTAACTAAGGCAAACAAGGCCCTTGAATCTAGCCCCAACCTTCCTCAGCTTCAGCCAGTCAGGCCACCACCCCTTTCCTCCGCTAATACCCACCAGTCTGACTCACTGTCCTGCCCCTACTGCTGGCGTACACAGTACTCTAGTCACTTATCTGACACTGTGGACGCCCTCAGGGCCAGGGTTCGAGCACCCTACCCTCAGTGCCCAATGTTACCCTCACCAGACCCCCACTGGACACAAAGAAGAGTCAGGCTTGTGGTGTATAATGGTGGCTCACGTTATACTTCTTTTGGACAGAGCTAGTCTAACCATTCTTCAGGGCCCAGCATGAGGAAAACCTCCTTCAACATGCCCCTAGCTTTGTGCCATTCTTAATGATCTTTCTTGCCTCTTGAAATCCTATAATGGAGTCTACCATACGAGCCACTATCTAATTACATAACACACTTTACATTTACTACTATTTTATACCTGTTCTTCCTGCTATACCAATGTCATTTCCATACCCTATTTGGGGACACATAGTAGGCACTCAACTTTTAATAAGACATGGACTCTTTGCTGGAGCAATATGCAGGATGTTTTTTGTTTACTCATTTACTTTCCCAATGATGATTTCAACAGTGGAGGAAGAAGTGCAAGTCAAGGGAATGAACAGCTCTCTGTTCTTCCTCTAATTAACATAATACATATAAACCATTTAGTACATGGCTTGGTCCCTTGTAAGGCCTGTCTGTGCCTCAATTTCCCCCTCTGTAAAATAAAGTTAATACTATCAGGCCAATCTAAAATATATAGCCAAGTCAAAGTAGCTAAGCAAGTTCTAATTGGAGTCACTACCATGATAATAAGAAATATTCTACTCTTCACAGCTAATTGTGTTTCTCAGCCAACTGTCTTAAATACGGACTAATTTTTATGAAAAGAGAACAAACACACAACAATTATCAAAATAAGAAAGGGGGGGACTACCTGTCAAAATGCTTATTCTATCTCATTAAAGATGGGAGACAAGTAACAACAGGAGAGGAAACTGTTCAATGCCTACTCCAAGCTGAAGTAGTTTATACATCCTACTCACAACAACCTTTACAAGGCAGACATTACCATACCCATTTCACAGAGCAAAAAAGCTGAAGTTCAAAGACAGGCTAAGTAACTAGCCCAAAGCCACACAGCTGCGGGCTGCAAATCCAGGACGGCAGCATCATCTTTGTACATAAAAAATAACATTTATTATCACCTGAAGATAAAAGATGTGGAAAGCAAGAGTATTATATAAATATACAAGTAAAAATACAATAATAATTTCTATTCATTTCCTTCAAATAGTTTTCTTGATTTTGACTAATTCCTATTTTTCACATCAAGAGGCCTTTTGTTCTAAGTAGACTTTTCTTAAAGTAGCAAACAAGGTATGCAATGTGGTAGGCACTAGTGCATTGATGTACTATTTTCCTTTAAAGTCTTTAAACCACAGTTGTAAGCAGAAGTTTACATTAAACATTATGACTAGAACTCCTCAGACAAATGTCCAAAAATCTAGTCCTTACAGATAAAGATTACAGTAATAAAGTAAACTGGGCCATTCCACAAACGCACACATCAATAAAAAACAACACAGACCTAAGGAAATATCACGGAACTTTTCCATGTTACAAAACTGAGGTCATCATGAGCTCAATGAAATGATAAAAGAAAGTTCCTCAAAATAAGACACATACCTTACAGTGAAACCAAATTACACAGCCTTGAAAACTAACTACTTTCTCAGAATGGTAACAATGTACTCTGTGTCTCTAAGAAACCAAACCGATCTAGGTTTAATTGAGGCTGCCTTTATAAAATGAGGCCAACTTAATCCTGTAGACTTGGACAGAAGTTCAAGTTCTCCACCTCAGAAAAAGTCCCAACGTATCAAATGGTTTAAAATACTGCTCAACTCTCCTTTATCAAAAATGTCCCTGCAGTAGGTGTTAATCAGTCACTACTAGGACTCTGCACAATGCAACCTGTGTGTACATGGTATTTTACTACAGGAAGTAGAAAGTTCAGTTTACCAAGAACACCACATTTCACTTTCAAGGGTCTCGAGAACTAATCCCTCTAACAGTAACTAATTTACATTTCATTCCAACCGAACAAAACAGTGTAATTTCAAGAAATCCAAGACTGGGTATAACTTCACTTCGCAAAACCAGGTATGTGGGGTTTTTTTCCTTAAAGGTGCGTCATAGCATATAAATAGAAATAATTTGCAACTTTTAATCTCATGAATAAGATCTTTATTTAAAACTCTCACAAAGATAATGAATTCTTTTATGCCGTATTTCCTCAAATGACAGACATATTAAGACTCTATGCCCTAAACTAGGTGATGCTGCTCATCTTAAGAATAAAAAAGACATCTAAAAGAAACCTAAGGTGTCCTTTTCTCAGTGCCCAAATACACAAAGACAAGTCTGTCTATAGACAGCAAAGGTGTTTTCATCCTAAACAAAAGTTAAGACCAAAGAGGTAAGAAAATAGAAAACAAAACATAGCTTAGCAAACTAGCTACAGATCACACACAGCAGGTGACAGGAAGCCTTGTGGACACTTCACACCCACAGGGCTGAGCTTCATCTCAGGTCAACTGCAGGCCCACCTGGACTCTGCAGAACCTCCACCCAGCAGTCTCATAAAAACGGAAGAAGGTATATAATCATCACGGTCATCCTGGCAATAAAGGAGAAGCAGCCTCCTTGAACCCAAGAAAGTCACTCCTCCCTCCAAGAGACACCAGGAGCCCCCTTGACACCAAGGACACAAAGAAAGTGAAGCAGCCAGACCCAAAACAAAAATAAAATTTAAAAGAGGGGCATGGGAAGAGGGATGACAGTTAAATTAAATTTATCCTAGGACCACGTGGAGTCTCAGGCTATTTGGGGACTCAGACTCAAAAGTAAAAATAAAATTTAAAAGGGGGGTAGGGCGCGAAAGAGATGACAGTTCAATTAATTCTATGCTAGGACCACTTCGGGTCTCAGTCTACTTAGGGTCTCGGACTCAAAAATTAAAACTAAAAAATGGGAGGGGAGAAGACAGTTCAGTGTGTGTGCGAGAGGACCACTTGGGGTCCAGTATTTGCTGGGGAAGGGAGAGTCACGGCTGTGTCCGGCCTCGCGGTCACCCGGTGAGAATCTGGCTAAGTTTACACTCGAGAACGACAGAGCAGTGCCCGCTTTCCCGGGAACAATGCCCGGACCTGGAGAAGAGGGTCTGAGGGCCCCACTCACTCCCTCGGGATCCCGGCCCCGACCCCTCACCCGGCCCGCGCCCGTGCAGGTGTCCCCGGCGCCCGCGCCCCTGTGCGCGCCTCACCCAGCAGCGCCCGCAGGTGCTTCAGGCGGGTCAGCACGTCCTTCTTGGGGTCTAGCACCTTCTGGGTGGACTTCTTCACATCCCCGTGGCTCCTTCGGGAGAACATCCCGCCGCGGGAATCCCGGGCCCCGCCGGCGGGGCAGGAGACGCCTGCGCCGCGCGAGTCACCACATAGAGTCGGGGCCGGCGCGTGTCGCGCGGGCCACTCGCCGCCCCCCCGCTGGGCCGCCGCTGCCGCCGCCTCAGCTGTGGCTCCAGGAAGGAGGGGCGGGCCGGGCACGGCGAGGGGCGGGGCAGGAAGGCGGTGTCGACGCGGAACCGACCGCCCCGCCCTGCGGGAGGCGCCGGCTAGCCCCTAGGATGCAGCGCACGCGCGCGCGGTCCAGACCCGCCTCATGGGGGCGGGCCGGGAGCGCCGAGCCGGCGCCGCGAATCACAAAGAAGCTTGCAGCACGCTGTGCTCGCTGTACTACCTGTCCCGGGATGCATCGCGACAGGGCCCTCCAATTAGGCTGGCGTGACTTCCGTACGACGGGAGTCAGTGGGCCGGCTCTGAGTATTTCCCCTGTCCCCACCCCACCGTAGGCCGCAAGTGCTGCTGGGAAATGTAGTTCTCGAGGAGGCGAGCCGCTGCGACCCCCTTCCCAGGGTCCTAAGCAGCTGGGTACCGTCGCCCACCCCGTACCCCGGAGGCCCGGGGCTCCCGTACCTTCATTCTCGGATCTGTGCGCCCACCCCAGTTCCCTCTAGTGCAACGTGAACCACAGGAACATCTCAGTAAAAAAAGTTTCAAGGCTTTTCAAATGCAAGCCGCTTTAAGTTTTGGCTTCTTTCACACTAGGAAGCCAGGGAGCGAGTGGGAATGCCTTTGACCATACCACAATCGGAGCTCCAATTTCACGCTAAAATGAATAGCTTTAGCAGCAGGGCATGCCTAGGTGAGGAGTCCAGCCAGTACCCTTGGTTCCTGGGACCCAACCTCACGGAGTCCCTCACTGGAGGGCTCCTCAGGATCTTGCGTCTTGCTTTGTAGGAAGTGCATGTTCTGTTGTGCAAGATATAGTAGCAGAACCAGAAATAGAACCTGAGGGACCTGACTCTCAGGCCGGTATGCTTTTTAAGGCCAGGCCCCTGTAACCCGGGGCAAGACTTTGAGATGGAAGATGATCTTGAGATTTCTTACAAGAGATCTGGAGAGTTATTTACTGGCATCTGGATCCTTTCATGCTCCAAATTTTGACAACATTTTAGCAAGTACTTAAGCTGGATCTTTAAAGTCATGTGCTTTCCATCAAATTGGGACTACGCAATTGGATCTTATCTCATTCAGCTGAACTATGGCGGGCGGTGCAGCTGGGCATTTAGACAGCTTTGTATCCTCGTCACTGAGCACACTATTTGGCCTCTAGACGCACTCAATAAAAATTTGTTAAATAAAATGGAATAAAAAACTGAAACAGTCCTATGTATTTATCCAAGCATGCAAAAACTATCTCCTAGGGGTTGGCCCTGTGGCCGAGTGGCTAAGGTCCCGTGCTCTGCTTCGCAGGCCCAGGGTTTCGCCAGTTGGAATCCTGGGTGCCGACATGGCACTGCTCCTCAAGCTACGTTGAGGCCGCATCCCACATGCCACAACTAGAAGGATCCACGACTAAAAGTACACAACTATGTACCAGGGGGCTTTGGGAGAAAAAGGAAAAATAAAATCTTAAAAAATATGTGTATGTATATCCCCTAGTTGTTGGAGCCTCTCTCTATTTTTAGTATTGTCAAAATAGCTTTGATAGAACCCGGATATATTCATACAAAGAAATATTACTCAGCAATAAAAAAGAATGGACTCCTAGTAAACCCAATAACACGGATGAATCTCAGACCCTGAGATGGAAGCCCTACCCTCAGGATAAAGGCAGAACTGCCATACCAGCCTAGGTTCCTAGATGACATCCCAATCAGGACCACAAACCCTCCAAAACTGTTAGAAGAGAGAAATAACCTTATCTCTTAAGTCAAGGCATTTTGGGTGTCCTTGTTACAGCAACTTAGCCTATACTGATTACACTTAGTAAGTCATAATATTCACTGCCCCATTCCTTTAGAAGAAGATACCTTTCATTACCTTGATTGAAAAAAATAGGATGCACTTGTCTTAGGGAATTCAATTTTTCTATCAAAGCAACCTGTCATCAAAGTCATTTATTAAGCACCTACTGTGTGCAAGGCATGAGTCTAAACCTTGGGGATAAAAAGATGTATAAAATGCAGCCTCCTGACCTCCAAAGCTTCCAATCTAGTTGACGGCCAGAGCAACTAGATACAGTCACACACCCCATAACAATGTTTTGGTCAAAGATGAACTGTGCAGATAATAGTGGTCCCATAAGATTAGTACCGTAGAGCCTAGGTGCATAGTAGACTACACCATCTGGATTTGTGTAAGTACACTCTGTTATGTTTGCCCAACAACGAAATTGCCTAAGGACACATTTCTCAGAACGTGTCCCTGTGATTAAGCGATGCATGACTGTAAGTGAAGAGGTAAACGACAGTGTACAGTGAACACATGACACTATCAGAACTTGATAGTACCAGAAACAGGCATTTGTGCATATAGGTTCATCTCATCCATCATATCTAGACTTTACTTACTGATGAAAATGCCTTCTCTAAAAAAGGCAAGGAACATAAATTCTTATTTTGATGCTTTTTCACCCACATGTATATAAATGTGGGATAAGAGTACTTCTCATTTTCTGTTGCTCTCCAAAATCTTTCCTACTGGACTGCGAGCTCCTTAAAGACATTCACCTGCTTTGTAATTAATTTTTTATCCCTAGAGGTTCAGAGTGCCAAGAATTTTGCAGATAAAAGTGCTATCAAATAATGTCACTTTCATTAATAAATCAAGATAATGAAGTCAAGAGTCAAAAACTTGCAATGCAAATTAAAACTACCCTGAAACACCATTTGAATTAGCAAAAAAAAAAAAACAAAAACAAAAACAAGATTTAACAACATGCTGGTAGCAAAACTATAGAAAAACATAGCTGATAGGAATGTAAAATAGTACAACCCCTATGGAGTGGAATTTGGCCAAATTACATATTATTTGCCCTTTGACACAGAAATCCTACTTCTCAGAATCTACTCTGAAGATATACCTCCACAAATACGAACCCACACGTGGAAGTTTACTCCTTCCAGCATTGTTTATAACAGCCAGTGGAGTGAGCTGAACAGATGTGTCCATGTCCTAATCCCTGGGACATGTGATTGTGACTTTTTTTAGAAAAGGGGTCTTTGCAGGTGTGATGAAGTTAAGGATTTCAAGGTAAGATCACCCCGGATTATCTGGGTGGGCCCTAAGGAGTGTCCTTCTAGAGGATAGAAGAGGAGAAGACACATAATTAGAGAAGAAGGCCATGTGAAAATGGAGGCGCAGGTGGAACTCGTGTAGCCACAAGCCAAGTGACGCTTGCAGCCACCAGAAGCTGGAAGAAGCAAGGACAGATTCTCCCTGGGGCTCTTCCAGAGGGAGCCCAGCCCTGCCAAAACTTTGATTTCAGACTTCTGAACTCCAGAACCGTGAGCAAATTTCTCTTGTTTTAAGCAACATAATATGTGGTAATTGGTTGAAGCCGCCCTGGAAAATGAATACCAGCAGATACTGGCGAGAACTCAGTGTGACTGTCTAACAGGATCTGATTGGATCTAGTGCATGTGTACACATGTAAAAGTGGCTGCTTGAATCCAGTGCGTCCACATAATGTAGTGCTATGCAGTACTACGCAACCATAAGAAAGAATGAGAAAATTACCTATGTCCTCATTTGACCTAATCTCCCAGATACATTGTTAAGTATAAAAGCAATGGACAGAACATAAAATACGTCTTTATTTGCTTATTTTTTCAAAAAGAAGCAGTGGAAGGATAAATCAAAAACTAACATTAATGCCTACCTCAGTGGAATGGAGGATAGGGCGGAAAGGAGAAGAGATGGCACAAGGTCCTCTCCAACAACATCATTTCATATAGTTTTGACTTTTGAATCATTTAAATGCTTTACATATTCAAAAATTAAAAGAAAAAGAGGAAACAAATCTAAAAATTGAAAATAAACAGAACAAACAAATGAACTCAACCATATATCTAATTGGTAACATAACTAAACAGAGAAAATAATTATTTCAAGTGACTTTTGAAAACAGTATCCTGATTGTACCTCTGTAGAGGGATATATTCTTTCTTTTTATTGAAGTCACATTGGTTTATAACATTGTATAAATTTCAAGTGTATGTTATTATATGTCAGTTTGTGTATCCACTGCATCTTGTTCACCATCAATAGTCTAGTTTTTATCCATCACCATATATATGTGCCCCTTTAACTCTTTCACCCTTCCCCCACCCGCTTCCACTCTGGTAACCACTAATCTATTCTCCTTATCCACACATTTGTTTGTTTATTTTCCACATATGAATGAAATCATATGGTATTTCTCTTTCTCTGTCTGGCTTATTTTGCTTAGCATAGTACCCTCAAGGTCAATCCATGTTGTCATAAATGGCACAATTTTGTCTTTTTTATGGCTAAGTAGTATTCCATTGTATATATTTACCACATCATCTTTAATGAAGATGGGTATATTCTAAGGGCAAAAAGATCTGAAAAGAAATATTAACTGTTGTTAGGAATTAAGATTTTCAATGTAAGAGAAAGGAGACACACAAATATCAAAATCAAAGAAATTAAATAAAAATTCTGTAATATTAAATTTTACCTGGAAATATCAATTTGAACTCTTGATTTAAAAATACATGCATGGGTCAAGGTTCATTTTTTTTCAGTAGAGATATTTAGTTGTTCCAGCAATATTTATAAAAAGACTTTCCTTTTCCTCATGGAATTAACTTGGTACCTTTGTCAATTATCAATCAAACATACAAGTGTATCTCTATTTCTGGACTCCCTGTTCTCTTCCATTAATCTGGTTGTTTAACCATAAATCATTAGCCCTCTGTCTTAACTACTGAAGCTTTATTGTAAGTCTTGATTTCAGGTAGTATATATCTCCTTGTTTAAGCTTACTTTGCCAATTTAGATCCTTTACAGTTCCATATAAATTTTAGAATCAATTTATCTATCTATTAAAAAAAAATCTGCTGTTTTTTCTAGTTCTTCTAATCTCTGAAAAGGCCCAGAAGAAATGGCACCCAGTGGCAATGAGCACACCCAGCACCCATATCTTCGTTTCCAAATATCATTCCCCA